GTTCATACTCTATAGCATTTCCGTTTCGTTTCGCATTTCACATTTTACCTGTGCACAAAAACAAAGTTTCTGACCAGCATTGTTAAAACTTTTCCAGTTCTTAAATTTTCTCAAGATGCTTTACCTTCTTATTGTTGCCATTCTCTTCAGTTTTTAATTTTTTTACTCGCCATGCTAAAGATATGCAGACGGTGGAAATGTAGTCCTCACACTTGATTAAGATTGCCTCGCACCGAGAGTGCGAAAAGTACTCAAGTGTACAGAAGTTGGCATACCCTCAAACCAGTGTTCAACCCTCTATCAGTGAAGGTCTCAGAAGGAACACAAACCAGGAAGCATGCAACAGAAATAGAAACACCGAACCAAGCAGTGAACAGTAGTCACTAGGGGAGGATAACTACCCAACAGTGGTCTTGGAAGGAACATGAACGAGAAAACGTGTAGGAAAAGAAACATACATTACAAAACTATGGTTTAACAGCCCTTTGATCATGGAAAATTACATCTTACAACTGGTAATCAACTTAAAATGACATGTTCAAGCGTGCTACGTAACCGCCAATAAGCAGAGTTCTGAAAGAGGAATTCTCCTCTTATCATGGCCTTCCCGCAGTGCCTAGGCACTCCAAAATAACGTGCTCTAAGGCAAAGGCCGCGACGCAACCGCCGCAAGTAGTGTTTGTCTGATCTTGTTGTTTAAGTTCTTCTACTACACAAAAACCTTTGAAAAACGCGGAATTTTAGCACTGTAACCTGTTCACTTCTCTGACTTTATCGTGAATTATTTAAAATGCAACCGTAGCAAAACTCCTCGAGCGATAACCAACGTCATGACATGTCACAATACGGGCAACCCTATCTCCTCTCATGTGAAATGCGCTCAAGAAAGTCTTGACAAGTCTATGGGAACTTTATAGGCCGTCACATGGCCGTGCACGCTATAAACAGGCGTTCGGGTCAGGACCAACAGCCGGGTTACTGTAGAGACTGAATGCCTTGTCTGAAGTTTGTGCAGATCTGAGATGCATTACTGGCGAGAAATCTTTTTTAACAGTTAGCGAAGTGTTTCTGTAAATGTGAACACGACATCCAACACCACAACAAAAGGAGACGATAGAATGAATAAGTGCAAGTAAATCATTCGACATATGACTAACAATCATGTTAAGAAATCAATAAGCCGAAGGGAAACCTCGATCAGCTAAGGTGGAGTACAGCAGAAGTTACCCTGAAACATTGGGAGGAATTCTTTGCTATAAGTTAGCATTAGTTGACTGGTGCCAATAGCCGTTCGCTGGGTGCGGGTCATCAGGTCAAATGCAAAGGAAAGAACGGTGGTAGGAGTTGAATTCATCAAAACTGACTCGGCAATCAATTACAAGACAGAGGCTTTACTGTTTTCAAAAAAGCAAACCAATACCCAAGCTCTGTTATACATCAAAACTGATGTTGTTGTTCAATTGAGCTAATGCTGTGAATGTGTGAATAAATGTTGACTAACGTTAAATTCAGCGACGGGGGTCCAAACATAGGCACGCTCGCAGGCGCAACATCCAAGAGCTCTTCATACTCGTCAGTGTAGACATCCGTGGGATATCGTAGCCCTTTTGCCGCCGAAAAATTGTCTCATAACTACTTCGATAAGGGAGCAGAATACTTCATCAATGCAAAAAGTTGCATACCTGGGAGTACCACTTCCCGAGAAAGAATTGCAGCGGTTCTAGTGCTGGGGCAAGAGGTATCTCCGATTCAACTGAAGAAGAAACAATACCTCCACCTCAAGGATAAGAAACAATGTCCCCTCCCTGGTGAGTAGTGAAAACAGGCATAATCACGCTCCATATCTTAATCCTATATTTCATTCCGCATCGTTAGTGTGTTGGGGAGTTGCAGCTCAATGACTCACCATAACCTGGACTAGGTTTGCATAAATTGCAAGCGAGCGCACAGTTGACATCGAAGAAATTTGTTTGTGTTAGTACAGCGTGGCATTTGTCCTCAGCCGCCCATCGTTCACAGCTCTTGTATATATCCCGGCACTTCCCTTCAAAAAGCCAAAATATCAGATGAGCGGAAAATTATATTTATCAATGGGTAAATAAGAGGCAATAAGAGCGGGTAACATATTTGTTCGAAAGAAGGGCAACAGGGATTGTCCCAACAGATACAGACATTCTACAACTACTGGGGAAGGTAAGCCTGAGCATTAATAAAACATTGAGGGATTATTGAACCATGATAGACTATGGGTTCGAGAAACCTGACTGACTTGTCGAAATCAACCGTAGTGTTAACTTCAGCGGGATCTTACGCCTGTGTCTTCTTACTCATAGGTGCAGCAAAATGCAAAATTAGGAATCGGGATACTCAGTGTTCGCGGAGAAAACCCACAACCCTGATTTTGCTGACGATCCTGGAACTTGTTTTCTGTTTGGGGGAAGGCGCGCAGCAATTACCAATGCTGAGCGATTGTGCTATGCATCCAGATTCATAGGGAAGAGATTCGCCAATACATATACATATATATACATATATATATATATCACTCCTGTGTAGGTATATATGTGAATATATATATATATAATATATATATATATATATATATATATATATATATATAGATGCTGCGGAAGAGTTTCCGGGAACTGTTAGAGCTGGGAAGAGCTGAGTTGAAAATACTGGGAAAGAGCAAAAAGAAGCTACGGACTGTGACAGAATCTGCCCATCCACCCTTGTGGGCATTGACAGCTCAGTTTCCCAGGAATGCATCTACCATCATTCTGACAAGGATTGGTTCGACATGTTTCGGAAGTGAACTGCTTGTACATGAGTTGTTGGTTCTTCTGAATACCTGAAAGAAGCAAAAATCATGCATATTCTGTTGCCACACTTGATACACTCGTCGTTAACAAGTCATTTTCGTAAATGAACACTGATATCCTTATGTTGAAAAATACCGCACAAGTGAAGTAAATACATAAAATAGTTCAGAACCTGGTCGAACCACAGTAGTAGTGAGTAGTAGAACCGAAACGAAGAACATTGTTGCAAGCAGAGAAGGGAGCGCGCGACGAACTGGCTGTTTTGCGTGAATGGGGCTTCGCAGAGACTGGATCACACCCAACCGCTCTCCCATCTCTTCCCGCCCCTGAAACAACCTTTGTGTACTCAAACTACCATTGATCATACTTTTTGCTGCTGTTACTGCTCTATTCATTCACCGCTGAAAATGTATTTGGGGGAGTAGTGGGAGAGGTGGGGCGGGGCACACATAACAGTGTTAGTATTGCAAGAAATTGACACGGTGCTACGTTTCAAACCGTGTATAATAGCACTCAATCAGAGAAGAAGAGCAGGATAGGCACCAACTAATGGTGTACTCTTATGCAGTTTCGGCTGGGGGAACGTAGTTTTTCAACTGAGCCTTAGGAGGGTATGAGCACCAAAGTAGGTGAAATGATCACCTCTCGCGGAAAGTGAAAACTCGCCCACTGCTCTTCCACTCCTATGGCTCAGTTAGCAAACTGCGTTCCCCTGGTATAACCTGGTATAACACGGAGTAATATTTGACACCTTGTTATACCAACACTGTTGTGTGTGTCCCCTCCTCCCACCCAATTGCATTCTCACCCATTCACCTACTGTTATCGAATTAGATTCAATAAACTCTCTCTTACTATATCAACACTACACTTTGCCTGTCCAAAAATAGTATAATAGTTTGTTTATGAAAGCGCTTACACGAGTTTGGGGAACACGGCGTTTCAACGATTCATTACTTTAATTATGTATCACAAGATATCAGATTTGATGAATAATTTCTCATACGCAGTGTATGCCAAGTTAAGAGATTGTTCACAGGGTTGAGATGAACAAGAGACTTTAGTTGCTTTTGAAAGAGAGAATGCTCTAAAACAATGTTTACTGCAGTGCGACATGAGGTAATCCAGAGCATAGCAATAGTTTTTGAAAGGGCCTTATAGAGCAACCGCACTCAGCGGTTCTTAATCCGTTCTAAGAAGAGAGCAAAAACGTGATGCGAAAATTCTGAAAGAACCTCATCATTTCAATTCTTCTCTCCTTGGAGTTTCATAGATGTGGCTCGCCCAGCCGGTGTGCTTAGTGGGTGGACAAAGTCACATCAACTGCATTACCGAAAGGAACTTGTCGTCAAACCAACACCTCAAGTATGGAAGGGGCAATTTATCGCAGTCTGTGCGACAGCTGTCTAGCTTCTGCAACCGGTTTCGTGCGGTATCAAGGCTGCCCTTTTAACATCCTTTGATTTTGGCCGTTCCACTATACTACATACCACTTGTGGTGGACCACTCCTGTACTTCTGAACAGGATATAAGTACACTCCGAGCAACAGCGAAAAGCAATTCGCGGGTGTTGAGGCTTCCTCCTAGTTTACGCATACAAAGATAAGCGTAGGGTAATCTCCGAATCTTGCATATGCCTCTTATTTTGCCTTTCGAGTTTTGACGATGGGAGAAAGCACAGGGTCATAGGTCTGATGAGTCTTTGTTTATAATAGTGATTCTCCCATTAAGTTTTATGACGTACTGGGACATTCAACGCCAAGGTAAAGCTACAATGATCATTAAAACTAATGAGCTCCCTTCGGATGAAAACTTCCAAAAAGCATCATGGAAAAGGACTGAGAGGTTCTTCCCTTCGAGCTTCTAACGTGCATAATCTCTGGCTCTAGTCACAGCCAAGAATTCACCAAGCCCACTACCGTGGCTATGAAGGTATATGTACTTCATCATAACACTAATGAGGTTTGAAAAACACGCGATTGAGGAAATTCGCTGATGTCCTAGAACTAGAACATAGAACACTGCTCGTTTCCCAGGCTTGAGGTAACGGAACAGATTCCGATTTCGGCTTCGATAACATCACTGTTCTTCAATTGCAAACTTGTGTAATCCCCTGCGAAAGCCTCCTTTGGAGTATTGAAAACGGAACTCGGATGGCTTTCAAAAACACAAAGACAAGTTGTTATCGGTGTCCGCCGCTGCCAATTTTTATTGAATTCTAGCTTCTGCTGAGAAATGTTCCTTGGAGGAGCACTATTTCCTTGAACGTGATCATCGTTTCTATAGACATCGTTTCAACCCGAAAGGTACAGCTCGAGCATTGCGAATTTTTTTCTTGCTTTTGTTTAGTCAGCACTTTTTCAGATTGTTATGATTATAGTAACGCTCTGAATAACAATGATGATGGTCACTCTCATAATTACAATTGAAGCATGGTGTCGAAGAAAGTCGCTCTCCAACATGACCTTCTTTCTTCCTCCCCCACCCTCCCGACTCCCCGCCTTCCCCTTACCATTCCCTTGCATTGACTTATGGAATAGGATCTCGGAACAGCTTGTAACTAGTATATTTCTGAGATACTCTGCAGCTCCTCTGAGCACGAGCACACTTCTGACGAAAATTTCCTCAAAAAAGCGCTGTGCTTCGTGACTAAGGTTCCCTCAATCAGCATAGTCATAGGACCATAGCGACACAGAAATACGCTGTAGTCAATTCCATAAACGGCAATAACTGTATGTTGTAGCTGTATAAACGCTGTCGCGGAATGCGCCACGTTTTAAGCTGTACAGTGAGACATTTTAAGGGCCTTTTGCTAATGTTATTCGCTAACTTGCGTTATTATATAGCTAGGCTTCACTTGAGTACTTTGAGACAAGTATGACGATTCCACGGTTTGGAAAGGACCAATCCGTTTGCCTAATGCGCTGCAAACCTTGGCTTCGTCATACTTCCCATGAAATAATGCAGTGGAGTCGAAAGTTAGATAAGCGAAAAGCTCTGCTTGTGAAGAATCTTGCTATATAATAGTTTTTTGATTTTTCTGAAATTTTCCTTCAATTTCAGGAAAAAAGATTGAGTCTCGCAACACTAGGATGCTAATTGTGATTATACTGAACAGCATTGCAAACCCACCACTCCAACTAACTCCGTATTTTTTTCGTGTGAATGGAGGTAAAAAGCTCAGAGAAAACAAAGCATCATATATATATATATATATATATAT